CCTGCTAGAAATCTTTAGTAAGGAACAAGCTCAGGGATGGGTGACTACTTTGGATTCTGAAATCATAAAATGATTACATTCTCTGCTTACACGTACGACTTATGTGTGGGCAGAAGATATTTCTTACTCAGACTCCCCACAGATGAATGTCTGTCTCATCAGGAGAATCTAGACAGCTATGCAATGCAGCTACTGGAGCAATTGCCAAAGATCCAGGAACACTCGAGAAGCTGTGGCTATTGTAGCATTTTTTTTTCCTACCTAGCTTCTCCACTGAAGAACTATGATGATATTTTTTTAAATGGCCATTACAGCCAGTATTACTAGCTACTACTTATATTCGCCACTTCCTGAATTCCAAACCTTGAGTCTGGCACCTTACATAGTGTCTTGCTTAATTTTCCAACAGCCCCCTAAAAGGAAGATGTTATCTCAGTTTTACACTTAGGAAAACCTGAAGCTCAGAGAAGGTACATCACTGGACCAAATCTGCACAGCTCAGGAGAAAAGCATTTCAGTGTCAGTTGCCCTGAACCAAGAGCCACATCCGCAGTGAGAGGAGTCACCAGTCTTGCAGATTGTTGAGCTGTCATCAGGGAGCAAGTACAGCTGCGGTCTCAGAGTAGGAACTCAAGATATTTCAGTTGGTTGCTTTGTGTTACCTCCCACCATAGGTGTGCCTGGGCAGCTATAAAACAGCTATGAAACACCCCGTACGTGCTCTATCATTACAGTCATTATTGTTTAATTTGTAACTACATTTACCTTTGTAAAGTAAAATATTTGGGAATGTGAATAGAACTAGCGATGATTTTGTTTTACAATGAGGATCACCGCTCTAAAAACTTTGTTATTGGAGCGGTGCAACTTTTAGAAGACTTCAAATTAAAATCAAAGTAACAAAGGCATACCTATAAATATGAACATCTGACTACATACAATTATCTCGACGACCTCATCCATTTCAAAGTAGAACAGGGTTGAGTGATTCAGATAAGGTGTACCAAAATGGCGTGTGCAGTGACTCTTGTCCTTTGGAGGTGTTAAATCTTTATCTGTTAGGATGCTGTCCCACACTTGCAAAATAGATTTGGGGTTGGAAGATTTTACGCTCGTAACCGGATGCCCTGCCCAGCACAGAGGAAGTGAGAAACTGCGCCATGCCTTCCAGAGTTACGTGAACCAAAGGCTGGTCCGTTCCCCATGGCGACAAGAGCAGAGAAGCCGGCAGTCACTCCACCTTGCACATGAGCTTCCGGAGCACAGGCAGCAGGAACTGGAAAGCGCAGGTCTCCTGGGGAGCAGCTAGCCAGGTGCCCTGCTTGCTTCCTAGGAGGGTCCGACAGGGTGCGCCCCCACTCGGCTGCCATCCTTGCACAGGGGCACCTACACCCCAGGTGGGATTGTGTTGCCGTTTCCTGTCAACAGAAGCAGTCGCCTTTAGTCAGGCAACATGCAATTGTTTTGTTACAACACACATCTTTAAAACAGCCCTTTTAATCTAAGTTGCTTATATTGTGCTTTTCCAGAGTAATTTAAATGTAAATAGGTTGCAATGAAAAGGGTGCCAAAAAGAGTTCAGCATTTGAAAAGTGAAAGAAAATTTCAAGGATTGAGGAGTAATTTGAGGAATTTTTACATTTAAGAGAAGCAGATGATGTCAATTCCAAGTATGCTTTTCGTATTTGCTCTCAGTTTTATGACTTGATCAATATCCATATCCATGATTTGTGACTAGTTCTTAAAAAATAGGTAGAGTTTAAATGATTGGCTTGTTGTAAGATTACAGCCAAGTTCTTTTATTTTATCCTTTTTTTGGTATTTATCACTGATTATTTTTTCACTAGTAGGCTTTGAAACCAAGCGCCTTTGTACTGAGCTACATCCCCATCCCTTTATATTTTGTTCTTAATTTTGAGGCAGGATTTCCCTAAGTCACCCAAGCTGGCCTGAATTGTGATTCTCCTACTTCAGCTTCCCAGCGTTCTGGGATCACAGGTGTGTGCACCATGCCCGCCATCACTGATTTTTTATACTATGTATGAATTGTTGAATTCTATAGAATTCCATATGTACACATTTTGAAGACTTAAGATTAATTCTGTCTCCCTCTTTCCCTCTGTGTGTGTGTGTGTCTCTCTCTCTGTCTCTCTCTCTCTCTACCTTTCTTATATTAAGTTTAAAACTCTGAAACAGATTCAAGAGTTTTCCATTGATAAAAAATGAAGACCACATTTTTTCTCCTCCTTCTCCTCTTCCTCCTCCTTTTAAATTTGAAGCCATTATCAAACACAGGAGGCATGCCAACTTATTCTTTGGTGAGGCAAAGTGCTAAAAACAAAGAGAAGGGTGTGTTCTGCTTCTTCATACTCCTTAAACTCTTCTACCAGAGTCATTTATATTCATACCCTTTTGATTCCATTGTGATTGCTCTATTCTCTGGGGAGAACATTTTCTTGGGTTCCAAGTGTTCCCTTTTATAAATGCAAATTCTCTTAAAACAGCTTCATTATTGTTACCTCTTTACTAGGATAAAGTTGGAAGTAATGAGAGTGAACCACGCTGAGGCTCAGGGTAACGGGAAGGAGGGCGCCTAAAGGGGTGGAGTCTGACGCTGATAGCTCTGACGTGTGTGCCAGCCAGCACTTTCCACGTCCAATACCAATTCCACCCGTGACATAGCGTTCGATTGGGAGGCCTGCTCAGGAGAGTGCGTACATTTGACAATGTCTCAGAGATAATTTCACAGGAATTTTCTGACATAAAGCTGATACGTTCAGACTGCACAGGATAATTCATGAGTCTGAACTCGGAGCGCTGCAGGCCCAGGAGGCCATGGTGCCCGGAGCGGCTTGCATTTGAGGATTCCCTAGGCCTCTTGACAACTGCCTCACCCTTATGCTAAACCAGATGTGTTTTTTTAAGTCCTTGATGAATTCATTCCGAAGAAAGGTTAAGCAGCTACCTGCTTCTTATCACCTCCACATTCTGAACCCCTCCAACCTACTTTGGGGAACTCTGTCTTGAGATTGTTATAAAAATGTGTTATTTGGTACATTTATGTGTATAGATTCTTGACATGAAAGTCCTAAACTAGCAATAATTCTTTTTTCCTTTTTGGAAGACTTTGCGGTATTGTCACAGCTTGGGTTTCTCAAGACTAAGAGCTGTGGATGTAGAAATGTTAATAGAGAGCTAACATCTGTGGAAGACAGGGAGCAAAGGCAAGACTGGATAGAAAGAGGAGTAAACTGCAAAGCCACCCCTGCAAAGCCTTGGTCAGCCCAGGGAGAATGGTACCTCTCAGGTCCCTGAGCCAAAGTGGCTGGGCTTTTGTGGCCATGTGTATCCCAGTCATTGGAAGCAGGCTGCCCAGGTAGGGTGAATGCAAGCAAGATGCCTGCATTCCTACCATGAGGAACGATGACTGTAGGCTGCCTACTGCATGGGCTAGGATGAGGGTGGGGGAAGCAAGTCTCCACATTTTCCCTAGGTCTTCATTTTCCTCTTGTCTTATTCATCTACCTCATCTCTTTCTGAATGGTCGAATATTAACTTTATAGGTTTCTTTACCATTTTATTATATTTGCTCATCCCCCAAAGTACTAGAGCTTTTAACTCCTACCACATGAGTGTTGCATAAAGATTAAGAATCACGACTTAGTTCAGATTCTTCATTTCCACTTGTCTGACCGCTTGTAACCCCAGGGTAGGTTTCTTAATCTCTCTCAACTTCAGCCTCCTCATTTATGAGTTGTTGGACGATTAAATGGGGAATGTATGCAGATTCACTGGCGTACTATCTGGCAGACAGTATGTGCCTAGTCTGTGTTATTACGAAGGATAATTTTTTGTCACAATTATTCTATATGCTCATACTATCCAGAAGGCAGAGCCTGAGAATTTTTTAAAAATGTGTGGGTCAATATTAAAGAAGAAACCAACTCCCAAATATATCTGCCCATTAGGCATCATGGCAGCAGAACAAAAACTATGTTAAAATAATTAAATAAGTGTAAGGCAAAGGGTGAGAGAAAACACCATCTGGCAGCTCTCCGCGAGTCATTTCGGAGTGAGCTGAAAGATAATGAAGGCCATTGCATTCTGGTCATGGATGGGCCCTTCTGCTTGGCTGATGTTACAGTTTTACTCTGAATAAAAATAGCCCGTACATCCTTTACTGCAGCTCGGTAAACACGGACTATGTGCATAAAAATAAAAGGATGCACAACAAAATCTTCGGAGAGATTGGCCACAGTTTATTTTGTCTCCTAGTATACCCTTGAATTTCAGTACAATCAACAGTTTCATCAGAACAGCTAGGCATTTGCTTTCTGGCTGCTTGTAGTCAGTTTTATGCTATTTTCCTGGGGGGGTCTGCCCATATAAAATACTCATCAGAGCCATGAGCCATCTTGAGGTTTGCAGAAGTGGGGTGGAGCGAGGCTGGTCTTGTGAAGGGACTCATAGAGGTGCGCATTTAAGGTTGATCACCTGTGACCTGTGAGGACATTGAGTCTTCCCCAGCCTCGGTTTTACCTCAGCAAAATGGTGACGCTAATGAACTTATAATATGTAAATGAGACTGGATGAGATGAGTAAAATGTTCTTTTGAATTAGAAATGCTTTGTAGATATTCGTTAAAAAGCTACTTTTGAAGAATAGTTTCACATTGTGATTTTAAGACCCAACTTAAAATAATAAAAAAAGATTAAACATGACTCGATCCTAACCAGATGAAATTATTTAAATTTGGGGAAATTTCTTGAATTTTGGGAAAATGGGTTAAATTTAGGCACTCAGTTTTCTTGTCTGTACAGTGGGGATATTAATATACTGAGCTCATGGATTGGTTGTGAGGATACGATGCAGTGGCCTGGGGGAATACAGTCGCTGGTGTGGTATGCTTACTCATGCTATTGTTATCATTTTAACACTAGAATAAATAGAAGCCATTTCTTGTGACTTGTATTATTCACTTTAGCATTGCTTTGGCATTTCCGGAATTGTTTATTAAGATTTTTACATTAAGTCTGGAGCTTTACAGTGATACTCCGTAACTCATAGCTGACATCCTGGGTTGCAGTGACAGCAAAATAAAAGGCAGGAAACAGACCCTTGAAAAAGGAGTCATCTGAGAGTAGCTCTAGGGTTCCTTTTGCTTTTGAAGATATTTATATCCTCAAATTGACTTTAGTGGTTGAAAAGCATGGAAAAGTATAAAGGAAAATGCCCAAACGTGAAGGTTTCAAGCCTGAAGTTGTGGTTCTCCATCTGCCACAATCCAGCAGGTGTGATTGGTGGGCAAATCACAGTGCCACTGGCTCCCACGAGATCACTCAATGCCACACCAGCCACACCAGCATGGCCACGTGTTACAGTCCTCAGGAGCACACCTGGCTTCACCAGGTCCACCTATGAGCAAGGGCACCATCATCTTCATGGGGAAGAACCAGTCTCCAAACTTGCCAGATGTGTGCGACACACCTAGTTGGTGATCCCTGGCGTCTCTCGGAGCCCTGAAATCTTAGGTATCTGTGCATCTCTCTTCACTGCAGCTGCACACCTGGAGAGCACATCTTATAATAAAAACAGATGCACAGCAGTATTTAAAGAAGGGGAAGGAAGAGCTTAACAGCTATTAGCTTCTGAAAAAAGCAAAGTTATTTTCTGAACTTACTAGAAACTGCACACTCCTCTTGCCTTGTGAGAAATGTGATGATTATGTACAGCGATCCAGGATATATGTTGTAGTCAGCTATTCCTCTTCAGTTGATCTCATTTTGTTTTTAGTGTGAAAAGTTTCTGTCCCTGCAGAAGCTCGCACCTACAAAGCAGCAAATAAATAGCCACATGGAAGACCTCACCTCTGCTCAGGAGCTATAAGAAGAGAAAAGAAGTGGGAAGGTGTCTCTAGAGAAGGCTTTTCTCACCCATTGATCACAGCTTAGATCGTCAGCCTGGAAAAAAAATTTTGTAATAGAAATATTCAGCGTAAAAAACACCAATAATTTCCATTTATATCGTTAAAGTGATAAGAAGAACATATGGCCTGGATTAGGGAAGTGAACGTTAGCTCTGAGGCACACGGGTGACAGACATTAATTAGGACTGAGAGTATCTCAAGTACTTGACTCAGAAAACAAATTCTTTAATAAGCTTCATGGCTTACAGATGCCTTGCTTCTTCCTGAAGCAAGGCACCATAATTCTGAATAAAACAGCTCTATCTGTGCAGAACTAAGCCCACTCGAGCAGCTTTTGTGCTTCATGCATGTTTAGAGGCAAGTCGATGGACCTTCACGTGACCCACATGGGTAAGTTGTCTCCAAGAGTCACACACGCAGGTGAAGACAACATCCTGTGAAACTGGGGCCTGCTTTCAAGCCTGATCTATTCCAGCCTTTGCAGTTAAAGAGACACCATGCATCCGATGCTGCAACAGGTGCTGCCGTGCTGCTGGGCTCCTGCAGCCCCTGTGTGCTGGAGTGTGCTGGTGGGAATGACACTACATACACCCTGTGCAAGCTGCTGGTATTGGCTTTTGCTGCTTCCTTTGATCAGTGGCTGATAAAATCTCTCTTGAGCTTTGGGGAGCTGATGAAAGCCATGTGCCTGGGCTAAGTCTTCAGAACTTGATTTTTGGCATTATCATACTGTTAATATCCGTTAGTACATTTTCAAACATGTGCACAAGGCCTCCGCTACATGGAATGCTCTGGCGAGTACTGGCTGAGGGAGCTGACACATGGGTTTTGTTGAACCCTCGAAAGCATATCCTGTGTCACTTTCTTGAGCAAGGAGAGCTGTAATGACTGTCTGGGGACAAATAGATTTCCTGTGAAGGCTTCCTTAATTCCTAGCCTTGAGTTTTGAAATTCTTGCTACCTTAGGTGAACACATTTTAGTAAAAGTATTCAGTTGTTTTATTGGTTCTAGCTGAAGCATGCAAAGATCAAATGGGAGTTAATGAACAGCTTGATCACTCAATAAGGGCATACCTGTGGGGTACACTAGAAGATACCTGGGTGGAGAAGTAGACCAGGGTTTCCAGGTGTGGGGTTCCTGAACTAGATTTCCTAGTTCTTCTACCTCAGGCAAGCTACTAACTCTGTGGGTCTCAATTTCTTTCTCTATAAAATGGACATAATAGCCTACTGAGTGAGTTAATGCTTGTGAAGTGCTTAGCAAGGTGTCTGTAAATCACAAGCATTCAATAAATGTGCTGTCCATTGGGCAGATCCTTAGAGAATCTTTCTTGGGAAAACCACATTCTAGGAGTCTCATGTAAAGTCTTGCTCTGTTCCTGAGGCTGTACCGAATGGTTTTGTGATGGTAGAGAAGGGATGTGAACCCCAAATACCTAATTGTCTTTGCTTATATGGACTAATGCAATGCTGCTTATAGGTTTGTTGGTAGAAAATAAATAAGACCAATCTTGTCAGATCCATTGTTTACTGCAGAGCCAGAAAACGGTGACTATAACAATCCAATTTATCAGTCAAATTTTTTAAAAATACATTAATTCCATGATATGAGACAATTTCCTTTTAATAACTTTGTAGCATCTCAACTCCTGAATGATAAAAAGAAGCGTTATTGAAAAATAACAGGTTTCAGACTGTGTTTACTTAAGTATTTGATCGCAGCCAATCATTTATTAAAAGCAAAACAAAAACCCATGAGCTTATTTGTTTTTAATACACCACACCCATTTCCAGGAAGCATTTTGAGGCCACTGAAAAACATTTGTTGAATATGTTCAGAAAAGAGGAGCTGGAAATATTTGTCATCTTGTGGCTTTCAGTATCACTAACTTGATGGAAAGAAGTCAGTGATATTTTTCATATCAGTTTTATTTAAACACTGTCCTTTGGTGCCACATGTATTATTCATTAAAAATCCAACAGAAAGAAAAAAGTAAGAGAAAGCCATTTGTTATAGCGTTCAGGATTAAAATACCCATATTTTTTATTATTATGTTTTAAACTAACTCTAGATCAGTTGCAAAGTGGTCATGTTTCCATAGCTCTTGACATGTCTTGAAAGACCCTTCTTTCTGACCCTACCTAGTCTTCAGTTCCTCTAATATGTTTGCGGTTATTTTTTTTCCATAGCCTAAGTAGGCCTAAGGTGAACGATAAATATGAGTGCTGAAGAGCTTGTTTCCCTTCACAAATATTAGGACTTTGGTAAACGCTGATGATGGTCAATAGTTCCTTTACGCAGAACATAGTAATCCTGAAACAAACAGGGGTACAAGAGACTTACCAGTGTTATAGTACTCACTTCACCATGGCAACATGGGCACGACCACATTTCTTTCACAGTGGGCTTTTTATCTATGAAATAAGAAATGTGAACTAGTTCTGCACTAGCCTTTCTAATAAGCAGTGATCTTAAGATCCCAGGAATCAGCTTAATTTTAGAAACTTTAGCAGATGCACTATAGCCTTAAAGACAATTCCTTAAAAGTGTGTTTACTATGTACATGTTAGCATAGAACCAAAATACAGCCTGGCACCCAGGCTGTTCCTTCTGTTTTAAATAATTTATTGTCTTCCTCTGATTAGTATATGTCCCCTGACTTGCACTTTATTTATGCTTCAAGGTAGCTGTATTGATGCATTTGTTTTCTGAGGTATCTGCATTTATGTATTTATTTCTTGTGCAAAGTAGAAATATACAATTGGCTAGGAAGGAATGTACTCTTGTCAGGAAAATCTGTTAGTATCAATATGCATTGATTCGAGAAATATTTATTTAGCAATCTAGTAAATAGGCATAAAACAATGAAGAGCACCTGAGGTTGCCCCAAGGAACTTACGGTCTAATGGGAGTGCTCACAAGTAAAGAAATAATTATAACACTGTGTGATACAGACGATGAAGGAGGGGTACGAGATGAGCACAAGCGGGGGACAGAGTCCCCCTCAGAGAAATCCCTGCACCTGACCCTGGAGTCACAGCACTTGAGCAGATGGGTGGGCGAGTCAGAATCTGGTAGGGTCAGCAGCATGAGCAACAGGTTGGAGGTAGGCGAGCCCCTCCTGCCCAGGGAGTGAAGTGTGCGCTGCGGGATAGGTGCAACATCAGGGAAAAGACCTGGCTGTGTAGAGGTTTATAAAGAGGTTGGGTTTGATCTCGAGGACAATGAAGACATCTTGGTGGGTTTTCCTAACACATAATATTGACATTAAAAAACAAATGGGAAGTGCTGCCTGGAGCAGTGAGGGGTTTGGAACCCAGCGGAGCTGGAGACTGGAATCCACCTGGCACTGAGGCAGCGAGCGAGCCAGGCTGCAGCGGATGGGGAACTCAACTTAAGTGAAGGGGCTGAGGAAAGCGGAAGTAGACAGAGAGAAGGAATCGATGACTGACTTCTCCAAAGATACCTGTGGATGTTTGTTTCTGGTCACTGTGGAGTAGCTGATACGGAAGCTCCCTCCACTGACAATAACTTGGAACCTGGGCAAAATATATAAAACAATAGCTACAGACATTGGATAGCAGCTCGGGGGCGGGCTACAGTCCTTGGGAAGGGGAAACACGTGCTAAGGTACAGATCACATGGCTTCTCTCAAAGAGCATTTTTCAGGAGGGGGCATCTGTATGCATATGGAGGACCCAAGTAGAGAGCATCCGTTTGTCAAAGGAAGGACATAAAGATCAGCGTCTGTGCTGCTGGACTGGCTGAGTTTTCGGCCTGGGGCATCCAAAATGGGGGAGAGTCAAAGAAAATTGCTGCAGAAATCTGAATAGAAATGCCTCTTAGGTCCTCCGTCAGTCCTGGCTTCTGTAAGCCCGGGGTAAGTCTGTGACAGAGCCTCTTCAAGTGGCTGAGAGCTGAGTAGCGGTTCCAGTGAAGGGAAGAGGCTGGAGGTCAAGGTCAACAGGGGTGGGGGGCCAAACTGCTTAGTACAACAAAACCCACCCCTGTTTAGAAGCCACCTGGTGTAGTACCTCTCCGTTGTTACCCATAATGCTTAGCATTCAATGAAACAGTTGTTCCACACTCATAGACACTGAAGATTGTCTGATAATCAAGCAGTAGAACAGTCAATAAAGCAAACCCAGACATAATGTTAACAACTTCATATTTATAGCGTGCTTAGTGTGTGCAGATACTCTGATCAAGACAAAACTCTTTGAATTCATGGAACTTATCTATGAGAGGGAGAAAATAACAGATAAAATGAACATATTAGAGGGTGAGAAATCCTATGGAGAAATAGAAAGCATGGAAACAGCTAAGAGGGTGGGATTTTAATTGGTCAGAAAAAAGCTACACGTGGGGCTAAGAGGGGGAAATTAAAAGATGAGATCTGTGCCGAGCTTGTGCTTTTATATGGCCTGGAGACAGACAAAATAGAAAGAATAGACTTATTTGTAGAAAGATGATATTTAGGAAATATTTAGTTTGAGATACCTATGAAATTTTACTTGGAATCTCACAGTAGGCAATTAGATATGTGAATTTGGAGAACAGAAAGTATCTAGTCCAGAGATGCTAATTTGGATGTGATCAACTTTTAAAATTATATATAAAATCTAAAAGGTACAATAGATATTGTGAAAGGGAAATAAACTGCTCAAAAGCAAAGAACAACTGGGATGAGGGAAAGGAGAAAAGAAAGAAAGAAGGGAAAATATGTACATATGTATACACAGGATATCTAAGATGGTTGTACTACTGATTTCTATTACTTTATTGAAAGGAACATTTAATATTTAATTGTTTGATCAATCTTACATGTCTATATTTGTTTATCTGAGTAGCCAATTTGAAGATATCAATATGTAATATAAACACCATTGTTAATTTCCTATCACCTTGTCTGAAATTCTGTATTGCTTGTATTGTTTTTGTGTTATTTTGTTTTGTTTTTTTTTTTTTTTTTTGGTTTTTCTCCCGTACCGGGAACCGAACTCATGACCTTGCGCTTGTCAGGCAGGCGCTTTGCCGCTGAGCTAAATCCCCAGCCCCTGTGTTATTTTGTCAATGTCTCTTAATATGTTTTCATTCTTTTATCTTTAAAATAAAAAAATGAAATTATAACTAACATGACTAACACAACTATAACTAAACCCCGAAGTAGTTCAGCATTTAAAACACAGACCCAGCATAGATAAGTGTATCAATGACTGATAAATAACTGAGAGCTAGGATGTTCCACCAGAATATGTTGTTATGGAAGCCAAATGCTTCAGCACAAGAAAGTGATTAGCAGTGCCAAACGGTGAGACATCAAGGAAGTGCTGAAATGTTTTGGGGGATTATGAAATGAAAAACTTGATTAAAATTATTCTGGCTAAAATATGGGGCAAAATTCAGATTATAGTGAAGTGAAGAGAAGTAATAGATGTGGATGCCATTAAGATAAGGAAAATTGTGGTGTTTATACACAGTGGAGTACTACTCTGCCATAAAGAAGGACAAACTTGAGTCATTTGTAGAAAAATGGATGTACTTAGAGACCATAATGTTAAGTAAAATTAATTAGATACACAAGCTTAAATATCACATGGTTTCCTTTATATGAGAAACCCAAAACATAAATAAAGCAAAATAAAGAATAGACAATAGGAAGTACAGAGGGGGCTCTTTCTCAAATGATAAGAGGATCAAAAAATGAAGGGAGAGGGGATGGACAGCAGGGGAAGGGGATGAGAAAGGAATTGAGTTGCACGTTATACACACAAACCAACTCTACACGGGGGATGTGAGCATTGCATATGGCACATATGTACTAATAAAAAATAAAAACTGAAAAAAAGACAGAGAGACATTTCTGTATCTGGTTATGAAGAGCGGTATTTGAAGGTGGTTGTCAGAGTGTAGCAGTGTTGTGTGTGTGTGTGTGAGTGTGTCTATGTCTTTTAAGGCGGAAGACTTACACATATTTAAGTGTGCTTAGCAAATGCTTTTTGATGGACAGAGTGATGATCCAATCTACACTCAGAGCAGATGGGAACAGGATGAGGTCTGTGTTAGGCACCTGGTATCTTCATTTCTAGGATGACTCTTCAGTGCTCCTGGAAGCACAAAGGAAACTATCTTAGCTCATATGATACAGTCCCTCAGGTAATTTTCTCACCAAATCCCACAAACCAGGTATCTCAGGAACTTCTTAATTTAGCTTCTGTAATAGAGTTTTTTTCTGCTCAAAATAGTAAAAGAACAACTTTATGGGAATCTTTTTAATGTTTATTTAAGATTAGCTCAAGTAAAGTTTTAACCTACCTCGACTTAAATAAATTTAAACTTCAAGAAATAAAGAAATAGTGACTATACTCACTATTTTTGAGATTAAAATCTGAAAATTAGTTTTGAGTGACTGCAATTTTGATCTGTATAGTCAAACTGTACCTGTGTTTACACACACTACTCTTTAAACAGTGAGAGTGACTTCAAATGTTTATTACAATCTGGCTTAACTACTAAGCCCAAATTATAAAAAAAATGTATATTTGTCTCTCAGTAATTAAGTACTTACAAAATTTTAAAACAAGAGTTCTATGCACATAAAGCTCCTGTAAATGGATGTATATGAACCATGTGCAAATAACCTTAGAAGTTGTCATAGTCTGTTTTAGAACACCCGAGGCTGAGTAACAGAGAAAGTACAAAGGCTTGTTTCTTCCGGAAACTTGAAAACAGCTAAAGAATTTAGTGGGAATAAGGACAGGCTGTACTGTTGCAGGAGAAGTACATCGGACAGGATGACTGCTCTGCCCCTCAAACCCAGGGTGAAAGATTGTTCTTCACCGGGCTTGGAACCAGATTCTGATCCATGTTTAATGAGCAGCTCCAAAGGTCCAGAAGCATCTTGAAATATAATATCATTCAGCATCCGACTTACATGTTGCAAAGTTCCTATTTTAAAGATGAACATGATTTATGATTGAGCATTAAAGAGAATGGAAGTCAAATTTACACTGTAATAAACTGAAAGTAGTTTAGAAATAGCCATTCTTATTTTCACGGAGATACCTTTTTAGAAGAAACTGACATAAACTGACCTGGAGTGATGCAGGATTTGGGTTTGAGGTTAGAAGCCTAGATTTTGTGTGGTCAGAGACAGGAGAAAAATAAATACTCCTTTTACTCTCTCGCTCAGTAGCTGTTCACCACCCGAAATGTGGCTGCGTTCTGGCCACAGATGTCTAATAAAGGCCACACCATCCAATATGATCAAGGTTCCTCACATAGAGCCTTATCCTTGACCTGCTCCCTGCTCTTTTTCTTCTCAAAGTCTTAAACATTGCTGGGTTCTTTGTTTAAAGCACTCAGCAATTTGGGAGGCACTAACTAGGCATGTGCTCAGGGATTCTAGGAAGCTAACTTGTACACAAAGTTGGCTCTGTTTTGGGAATAGAGCCAGTAGGGTACGTACTACAGCCACTGGCAGGGTGTTCGTACCAGGTCTGCTGGATTATAACTCCTTCGGCTGCTTAGAACGGGAGCCCAAGTGCTGTCACTTCATGGAGCAGTTCCTTGGGTCTGTGGAGTTTTATGAAGTTTCTTGGCAAAAAAAATTTACAGAAATTTACAAGATTAGAGGACTTCTGTATGGGTGGAAGTTGTTGATACTCTTAGGTATGGGGGAGCACAAGACAGCGAGTTTACCAAGTACACATTTAGTCTAGGTTTTGTGATTTAAAGCTAAACCTGACTTTAGTTTAAAGATGGCCCATGATGTATTTGGTGACCATGATTATGGTGGTTAATTTTATGACTCCTTGGATGGGCCTGATATTTGGTTAAATATTCATTGGAATGTCCCTGTGAATGTAGTTTTGGATGAGATTAACATTTAAATTGGTGGATCCAGAAGCAGATTATGCTCCATAAATGGGTGGGTCTCTTATTCATTGAAGGTCTCGATGGAGAAAAGAGTAACCTCCCCAAGGAAGAAAAAATTCATCCAGGAAGACTGCTTGTCTGTGGGCTCCTTGTGCAGCTCTTTCCTGAATCTCCAGTCTGCCAGTCTGCCTAAACATTTGGATTTAACAATTTTTTAAGATGTCCCCCTCACCCCATACATTCTATTAGTTTCTTTTTCTGGAGAATCTTGACTAATACATGAATATATTGCCTAACCATACAATTAAAATTATTCTTGGTACTAAAGGAATGAACAATTAAAAATATGGTCCAGATACCTGGCTGTGGTAGTGCACATCTATAATCCCAGGTACTCAGTAGGCTGAGGTAGGAAGATTGTAAGTTTGAAGCCAGCCTGGACAACTCAGAAGGAGTAGCTCAGTGGGACAGCTCCCCTGGGTTTAAGCCCCAGTACCACAAAAATAAATTCTGTACTCAAAGATATTTATGGGGACCCTCCTTGGATTAGAAGTCCCAGTGGATCTCACTGACCAGGTCCCAGTGAAGTGCCACTGAAGAACACACCAAATCCTGATGGTTATGTGACTAGTGGGGAATTACAACAGTGTGGTTATTGGGTGCACGAAGGTGTCTCCTTTCCCAGTAGGCACTGCAGAAGAAAACTTAGAGACAACAAAAGTCCTCTCTCTCACAGTTGATTAGAGGGTCTTAAAATCCCCTTCACACTGCTCTTTGGAAGAAGCCCTCATCACTACATTGTTTCATGAATAACAGGCTTCTCATTTACATTCATTGCTTTGCCTGCAGAGGAACTTGGTTGTTTGCCAACAACTTAATGTCTTGAGAAAGCTATAGGTCATTTTGCAGGCCCGCTTTTAATAACGCCATCTCACAAATCTGATGTGATCTTTCTGCTTTGTCGCCAGTTTGGGGATACAATATAAGCTCCAAATAATAAAACTTTAATGGTCTGAACAGCATTTTACATCTTATCTCCAAACATATTTCTTTTATAGAAAATTCTGAGAATTTTTCTCTGCCATTTTCATTCAATAAAGATACTCATCTGGGCGAAAAAATAAAAGATCGTTGTCATTGTGAATCGTGTTAAAAGACAAAAGAAAATGTACTTATGTTGGATAAAGCAAGTTACAGGAGGCCTGGTTTTGCTGAAGATCATGGGGAGAAATTAAATGTTAGCCAGATAAACCTTAAATGGAATTTTAATTATTTTTTCTGAAAAAGTTGCTTTTTTGTTGTTAAAAACTCAGTATATAAAAAATATAAACAAAAGAAGAACACTGAAAATGCTAAGAACTCCCCTATCCAGCAACAATCCCATTTACTGCCTTGGTAATTATCTTTCATGTGGGCTTTATATACTTACCATAGACACCCCCTCCTCGAACAGCCAAAATCATAAATACAAAAATATATACAAGCCAGATGTCTTCAAGACTGGCTATGCAACATTAAAATGAGGCCATGTTTACTCCAATATTAAAATTTTGATCTTCCCATGCTGTTTGGTATTTCCTTGCTCCTTAGTCTTTCCTATGATGTGGGTAAGAATTCCATTGCTCTGACTCAAGCCAGGGGACTCCTCTGGGCTATTTCACCTTCACTCAGAGGCTGGACACTGACTATTTTCCCTCCCTATACCAATTCTTTGAGGTACAAGAGGAGCTAAATTCCCCAGGAGTTAGGGTCCACCATAGAGACACTTTGCTAAACTGGCCAGCCCAGAATTAGAACTCTCAGCTCTCAGTTTTTGGTGGACACACAGAGCCACTTTTTCTTTTCTGCAACACTTGGTTGCGGCATCAGACATTAGTTTGTCCTCAAAACCAGTTCTTCTGATGGCCTAGTTCCTGCATTGAGAGAGGAGAATTAGTCAGGACTTGCTGAATGTGGTTACTGAGGTGGTTTCCAGGTTCCCATTGTGATGTCTTCCAATCAGGCTGAAGCCAGCATCCCTCTGGTTCATGACCTCTACTTTAATGCACACATCTTAAAGAGCTGAGTCTTGAATTTAATGTTTTTTCTTTTAGAAATCACCTTGACTTGTATGTGAATGTATAAGTGCAAGTAAGTTTCACCCATCAAGGACACCTGAGAGACAGGCCTTACCATGACAAAACATATATAATTGGCATTCCTTTCTGCATTGACTGGGAGTTGGCCTTGCAATAATCTTTTGATGAAGGAAGGTCTGCAACATAATGGCTAAGTAAAAAGCCTCTGGATTCCTAAGGCTCACATTTAAAGCTCCGCTCCATCACTTCCTGTTGACAATTTTGTGAAATATACTCAACAGTTTTGTGCCTTAGTGTCTTCATCAATAATACTGGGGTGATAATGATCGTACCCTCCTCATGTAACTATGAAGATGCATGATACACATTTACACTCCTCCTGGTAAAAAGCCTGGGCTCAGGTAATATTAGCCATTACTACATCAGTGATTCTAATCACTAAATGAGGACTCTAAGAGTAGTTCCTTCTAGAACAAAGCAGAAACCACATCCTCCACACTAATACACAAGATACATAATGGCTAGCAAATTTTAAGTATTATTTCTCCATTACTTAAAGCAGTTTTAATCTATTGGTTATGCTTTACATTAGACGAGTCTCCATAAATATAATTTTGAATGCCTTTTTGAAGTTCATATTGTTTTGTAATCTGCGTTTCATAATAATATATTATAAAACTCCTCTGTTTATCAAAAGTTATACTTCCAAGTTATTTTCATCTTGTATCTTACATATAAGAGAATTATATTTTGCTAGTCACTTCTTATTTTCATGTTTTCATTGTCATAAATGATGGTAAAAGAGAGTTTCATAGGCAAGAAAGTTCCATTGTGTAATTCTTTGCCAAGTTCATTGTCTATCTAAGTGTTTGATGCTCAGTTGGCATCATAGGTGGTCACATGACTCTGGATTACTTGATGAAGTGAATATGGAGATGGAATTTTTAAACTTTAAAATAAGCTGCAAAATTTCCCCTAGAAAGGTCTCCATTTTATAGCAATCAGCATTCCCATACCATCACCAAAGAAAGCATTCAAAACACTAAATGTTTAACAGTGTGGAAGACAAAGTTGTGTTGTTTTCATGTATTTTCTTTTATTATCAGTGAAGTGAATGGTTGCATTATAGTAGGTTTTAAATTTTGCCTTCTGTGAGTGAGTTTATGTTCTTAGCCAATCTTTCCTTTTATTTTCTTTTAAAGATATTTGTATTTATGTAGGAAATTCACAAATTTCCTTACTGCTCTGCCTGAAAGAAAGGAAATTTGCCTTATGAATATTCTACAATAGTTCAACTTTTCATGAACTTCCACCTAGAGAAGGGGACTGGTAGAAGTGGTTATGAGAAAGGATTTAAATGAATATATCCTAGAAATTTGTAACTTAAAAGTTTTGGTTTCTTTTAGATTACCAAATGAAGTGCTCAGACTTAAGATAGGTATACTTTCCTCCACTACTCATTCCAGAAAGAGCTGAATATTTTTTGTGTTATGTGTATAGCGAAGAGAAATTATGTGACCTCATGTAGTGTGGGAATGATTTGATGAAGGGTAGAAAGGAGTTGTGCAATTCTTTGCCAAGTTCAGTGTCTATCTAGGTGTTTCATGCACAGTTGGCATCATTTTGTGAACCTGAGTCTGATCTCTTGGCTTAGTTAAGGTCTGGAGACCCATTGACTGTTGTAGCTCTCACTCAGCTGGAGCCCTGTTGGCTCCATTTAGGTCTAGCATAATTTCTAAACTCAAGCATTAGAAACATTCATTCAGCCTCAAGGAGAAGTTAAGGAAAATCCTAATTCAGGGCACTTTCTCTTCCTAAAAACTCAAGGGCTCCATTTGTACTTGTCCATTTCTTCATCAGAGTTCCAGATGGAGAGGAGTGTAAGTTTTTTCCTACTTGTGCTCTTTCTCTCACCCTTCATAAACCAGGTCTATTTTCAGGAATTGGAGACAAATTTTTTAAAAAAGCCATGTCTATCTGAGATTTTGATTCAGGAGCCAAGAGCTAGCCAAGACCTCTCCTAATTTTGTCTTTCCTACATCTGACTAGGCTACAATTAGTAGAGTTTCTTCTTTTTCTCCCTGTCTGGTTGGATTTTCCCTTGTGTCATAATCTGTTCTTGGGGATAGTATGTTTCAAAGTATGGTAGAACAGCTCTGAGTTGAATTCACTAGATTTGGCTTTTAGACTGAGTATCTCACAATAACTATAAACCGGGATTGCACAGGATGAAATGCTTTGTTGTTTTTTTTTTTTTTGTTTTTTGTTTTTGTTTTTTCTCCGGTACCGGGAACCGAACTCACGACCTTGCGCTTGCCAGGCAGGCGCTTTTGCCGCTGAGCTAAATCCCCAGCCCCGAAATGCTTTGTTTTGATGTTCCCTTGATGTTGTTTTATATATATATAACTACAAATAGATTCAGATATTTAGGTAAGACAGAGTTGATACCTTTCATATATATTGAAAATGTTTATGTCCTTATTTTTCCTTTAAAAGCAACTCAAAAACTATGATATCCATTAATATAGAGAGCTTTTTATGTACCAATCAAATGCTTTATGATTTCTTAACTATAAATCTTAAAAAGTCCTTCTCACCAAGAAAACATTATATTCACATCTATTTTCACTACATATTTTTATAGCTTTAAAAAATTTTAACTGGAAACATTTATGCAATCTAAACATATGTGTATGTGTGTGCACATATACATATGTGTGTATACATGCAATAGACTTAATAACTGCTTTAGTTGCTTTCTTCATCAGTAGGACAGAATATTCAACACCTGCAGTTTCAAAGAGGAGTTGGCTCACGGTTTCAGAAGTTTCAGTCTAGTCTAGCAGACTGAGACCCATTAGTGCATGGGATAAGGACTGCTGGGGAGAAAAGCTGTTCACGTCAGGGTGGACAGGAATCAGAGAGAGAAGGGAGGAGCCGGGAAGAGAGATATACCCTTCCCCACTGACCTGCCTCCACCCACCTCCTAAAAGCCAGGCACCTGTGGAACCTTGATGGACCAATCCTCTTCCAAAAGCCCTGGCCCTGAGCACATGAGGCATTTAGGGGACATTCTCAACACAAATCATAATAACCAACTTTTGAGCAGAGCATTTGTCTTAGTTATTTTTCTCTCGTTGCTGAGACAACATACCTGACACCTACAAGTTAAGGGAGGTATGATTTATGTTGGTCACAGTCTGTAGAGGTATCAATCCATGTTCAGCTCGCTCCAAGGCAGGGTGGTACAGCAGACAGGCATCACAGCGGAGAAACAGTTCACGGTGGGCAGAAGATAATAAAGCAACAAGGCACGACCACAGCTCTTTCTATCCCTTATATTTTATCCAGGCTACTTAGGGTGATTAGCACTCACATCCTTAATCCTAGTACTCTTACTCCTACATCACACCATGAATGGATCCCAATATGACACACTCTAGATCCAGCCACCTCTGAGAAAGCTCCTCCTAGGATAGCATGAGGCTTTGGGGGGACATCTAAACATGATTATGATTAATTTCACAAATTGGCCATAATCTAATGCTTGATCTGGTGACAGATCTTGGCATTATCCATGTGGTGCTGTTTTATGGCAAGCAGAATCCAAGCATTATGGGGTCATGGAAGATTCCATCCAGATTTCAAAATAAGGCCTCTGAAAAGGCAATACATTAAGCTGTGACAGTGAAGCTGAAGGTGTAGTGGAGGCTCCAGGAAGTTGGAGATGCCAGTAGTGTGGAATATCTGCCAAGAAAAACCACATGCAGTGAACAGAGCCAGCCAAAAAAGAGAAAAGACGCAGGTTGCAACTGGCAAGGCCGTGGGGTAAGGATGCCCAAGACCTTTGGAGTTTACATTTCACCACAACGTGCTCCAGGCGCTGGACATAGGACTACAAGATTTAATATTGCTCTGCTGTTTTTCAGTCTTGCTCTGGTCTCATTCCTTTGTATCTCCCATTCCTGTGTTTTGGAGGAGATATATTTGCCCTCTGCTGTGTTTAATTGTAGGGCTTACAATGAAACAGTTCACTGTGAATCTCAGAGGAAACTTTGGACTTGGACTTTTCAGCAGTGCAGGAAACTTTAAGACTTTGGCAACTCTTAGAGATGCACTAAATTCACTTTGCATAATGAAATAGACATGAGCTTTTTGGGAACCAGAGATGGAATGTTGCAGTTTAGATCTAAAATGTCTCCCTAACATCTCATGTGTTATGGAAGGTGGTTGGACTGTGGGTAACTATGCTCATCAGTGAATTTATTCATTGATGAGTTCAAAGCCAAACATGTTACTAGGAGGTAGGACCTGGTTGGAGGTGGGTCACCGCAGGTATAACCTGAAAGGGCATGTTCTTTTCCCTGGCTCATCCCATCTGTCTCTGCATCCTGTCTTCCATGGGAATGAGCAGATTTCTTCTGCTATGCCCTTTCACCATGCATTTCTGCCTTGGGACCAGCCAACATTGGAGTAAACCCAGGAGAAACTATGCTAATAAACCTCCCCTCCATTAAACTGTGGTATCAGATATTGTGTCCCAGAGATGAGATAGTGACTAATACAAGCTGATTTTCTGATGTATGTCTTGCTATTCTCCCTAGATCACCAGATTCAGGGGTTTGCAATTCTAAAGAAATTATATTGCTTAGAACATCTTAATGTCCCTGTCTTTTTATATTCTTTCCCCATGAGTAGCTAACTCTCCATTTAATTTTTAGAGGACAAAAGGTACCCTCCCCAAAGAACTGACAAATATCAAAGGTCCACTTCTCCCTGGAGGACTGAGGGTAGTAACATTCTCTGAAGAATAGTTTTTAACTTGTTAGGTAGTTTCAGAGGGGGC